TCCTCTTCCTCCCCTGCCTCGTCTCGCTCCCGCTCCCAAGGTCCAAAAGCAACAGGCTAGTAGTATCTGTTCTTATCAGTGTCATTTGTTTGATTGCCGCTTCTCACACCACAGACATTTCAGGATCAGACCTCCGAGCGGGGGTTTAGGAGCTCGCTCAAGCCGACACGTCGGCGCATATGCGTATAGGCTCCCGCTCGGTTGATCTCGCCCGCTTGTGCTGAGGAAAAGGATACACTGAAAACTCGCAGGGGTCCTGACCTACGAAGGCCTCCACGGGGACTCGAAGTGGGACTCAAAACAAGATTGGTTAACTTCTCATCACTTGTGTGACCCAGGGAGAGTGGAGCACTTACCGTCTGACGGCTGTGTGTACCGCACCCTGGTCTACGTAACTCAACCCTTCATACCTTTCATTGGAATATGCAGCACGCACGTGATCGAGTATTCGTGGATCGCGAACTGGCTTTACGCATCGGTGGCTTTATCACCCCAGACTCTCGATGGCTAAATCGCTTCTCGGAGATCGAACGATTTGTATGGATCACGCATCGGGATTTCAATCACACGACGCGGGTACTATTCGAGACGCACCAGGAGATTCAATTCACGCACTGGCGGTTTCAGCAGACTCCAATGTACTCAGAAGCATTTCACTCGTGGCTGAGATATCACGACGACGGAAGGTTGTAGAGACGCCGCGTCAGAATCCATATCAGCTAACCATAATCCGTGACAGATTTCACGCCCTATGGTGGGCTATGATATACTCGTCTTATACTCTTCTCTCAAATGGTGGCTATATCGTTTGGATGTGCACCAATCCAGTGTTTACAGGTACTTACTATATGATCTGGGCATGCGGCCGCACAACTAAAACTAAACAAGGTCGCTGGCTCCTCTTCCTCACCATCCTAGCGTTCCACGTTTCCTGTGCTACTGGTACCTTGCAGTCCGACAGCGACGACCGCATTCGGATTCACCTACGACAACGGGCGACACTTCACACGCTTGGCGGTTCTCAGATATTGGTCAAAGTTGTTCGGGAACTTGATTTGCTAACTGGATGGTCGACCCAGCTGTCGGTGTACTCAGATCTTAAAGGTTCCTCTCCGTATGCTTCGACGGTGGCAACAGTCTTCACGGCTGGGCTCTGGCAGTGTTTATGTGCGCAGCCGTCGGTGACCGTTTTAGAAGCCATGCACGTGGTTCAGTTGGACTTGCTTAAGTGTATCCCCCTTGCTGGGGTTAGCTCTTACGTGTCTGTCTTGCTGACGGCCGTCACCTCGTGTATCTCTATTTGCCGCGTTCGCGCCCTATTCCGTGGTGGACGGAAATCTCGCATGCGTGCTCATCGCCTGTGTCACAGTTTTACACCGCTCCAGCAGGCTGCTTTCTCAAGGCCTGGGGAGGCGAGCATCGCGGATGCGCTCGAATTGTTTCAGTTTGTCTATCTGCAGGCTCGGTGTATCCAGGACCCCAAGCCGACGCCTCAGGCCAAGGATAAAAAAAACATTGGCTCTTCGAGTTTCGTGTGCCAGTTAGGCTCCGAGAGCTTGTACATCGGCCAGGGATCCCTCGTTCGGAGTTCCTCGGGGTATTCTGGAGGCGTTGGACGTTTTCGGGAACGCCTTCGAGGCCTACGGTGCGTCGCCCTGGGAACCCCAACTAAGGAAAGAAGCCGCTACGTACAACTTACACCTGGATGTACTTCCTGGCTCTTATTCTTCGTCCTGGCCATTACCCCTACCAAGGACGTACATGCACTTGAGAGCGCGCACATTGCATACTCACGCCCGCTTGCTAACGACCTCAATAATCCTCACCTCGGGCGCCTACGCGCACGGCATCGGCTACGCCCGCGCGCGCGTGCACACCGGAGGACACGACGGAAATGTGAACACACATCGGAGGCACAGACCGTACTTAATCAAAAATGGTATGACAAGCGTATGCAAACTTTATGTTCACAACGCATGGGTTTTTCGCAGTATCTAGCCGCACGTCATAGATGGCAACACCTTCTCCAGCATAACTATGGTGACTTGCACGATGTGATTATGCAGCAGCGTGCGCGGGCACAGCAGGGGCGGGGGCCGATTAACATTGCGGGCTCAGGCAGCACGGTCTTGATGCTCAAATGGGCTTCCACGAACTATCAGCACATGCCGTGGGGCCTGATATGCAAGAATCGGACCCACGGCACGGACTTTTGATTCAACGTCTGGGAGTTCACAGCACTGTATCCGTTTTGGATGGATCGTGTCAGAGTACGCTCGTCCCTGAAGTCCTACCTCCACTCCATTAAGCTTCCCGCTCCCGTCAGCAGCGTTGTGAAAGTGTCACGCCAGTCGGAGGTGACACCTGTCAAATGTTGGCTTGCCCGCATCGTGCAGCAGGCCAGACCCTCACGCCCAGCATGGGCGACTTGGGCGGCCAAATCCGTCCGCATACTGGTGCGCCCTGAACTTGCGCTCAGGAAGCGCTTTTGCACGGTGGCTCGTATGTTTCGGCAGCAGGACTATCAGGCTCTCAGCCAGCTCCCCCTGCATGATTTTCACCTTGCTGCGCGAGGTGACGACATGGAACGTATACATATGAACGGACGCATACCCCTACTTACTCCCTCTCTGACCCAGCCCCAGCGTGACAACACCCAAACATCGCGTCGTCGGTGGCTGTCGTCCCAAGGTCTCGACAAAACGACCTACCCCAACTATCGTGCCCGACGCCCCCGCCCATCCCAACCGAAATCCCTGGACGACCGACTATATAAGGCCCTTGGAGAGGCCCGACTGAAATTTGAAGCGAAGGCTTTTGAGGCCCAGGACCCTATTTGCTTTACGGTTGAGGACAAGGACCCGAACACGATGTGGCGTATTAATGGACTTTACCATCTAGCTCGGTGGTTACATATGATTGCTAAGGCCCCTGAAAGATGGCGCGTTGTTGATACTTCCAAGGCCGCGGTGGTTGCCTGGTACCGTCTATTGTACGATTATACCATCCCGAAGTCCCTCAGGGCTAAAGGGGAAGGCCCACTTAATGCTGAACACGTCCCCTATATCTATCCTACGGTCAAGCTAAAGTGTTGGGGCGGTGGACATCTTCCCCCTGAGCAAGGACGCCATAAGTGTACCAAACCAACGCATAGCTGTTTTCGGAACATATGCAGTTTCGTTCGACTACCATCGCGCTCATTATATAGATCAATCAGTCGTGCGTTTACCTTCCTCTCCGACCAGATGAACCCAGGGTGGTCATTCTCTTCTCTGGACACAGCTGTGCCTAACATTGTGGACCAGTATTCTCACCTTGTGTCTGCGCCGTCGGCGGGCCCATGCTTGTGCAGGGGCTGCCAGGCGCCGATGACCTGTCCAGGTCTCGTGGTGGGTGATGCTGGCCAGGCATACGAGGCCATCGCTGTTGAGAAGATTCACGAGTGCCTTGATCGCTTGTTCGCCAAGCTTGCTGAGAGTGAACAAGAAGGCAAGCAGCGTTGCATCACGGTCATGCGCACACAACGGTCACATGTATTCTTTGGGGGACGACGACCCGACGATTGTGGGATCGCACGGTTTGGTATTCTAGTAGCATCCGCAGGGCTTTGGAAGGTTTTCTAGGCATGAGACTCTTCCTGGTCAGTGGCTTGGTCGTCCAGCAGCTCTGTGGGATCCCCATCGGAGGGCCCCTCAGCGGGGCTGTCCTTCACGCTGTGCTCAGCGACCTGGAGTTTAGCACCGACTCTCGGTACCCAGGCCGACGGAGCACTATCATGACTGTGCGGTATGTTGATGATATCATCCTGGCTTCTAAGGTTTGTTGTAGCAAATGTCTAAAGCGCCTGGTGTGGCACGTCTATGGCAGCACGGTCAAGTTTGACTACACTGAGCCTACCCAGATCAACCCATCTATTCTAATGGTTCCCTACCTGGAGGCCGTATTATTCTTTACGCACAAGGGGTGTACCAGTTGGGTTATCCAGAAGAATGAAGCATATGGGTTCTCGGGTCGTGCGTCGGAGCTAGCCAAACAGTCACTACCTCCCGACTTAGGAGTGTTCCCACCAGCCCTACTTAAACAACATCGAGCTGAGTTACGGGGTCGACTTAGACTATGGCAACAACTACGTGTTTGTGATCTTAACTGGCTTATACTGATTTGTAGCGATGTACTTTTACTTCTTCGCCTAGGCGATAGTGGTCAACATATACACCGCATATGGTATGATATCCTCCCACCCTCGCAGCAATTGGAAATAAGCAAAGCAGCCATAAGACTCGTTCTCCTCACCTCAAAGGCCCTGAGAGCCCCACCAGGTACCCTTGCAGCTGTCTTTTCTCAGAGCCTGGCGGGAACAGCTACTCCAACTCACGTCGGCAGCGAGTGGGATGTTCAGCTCTTGGCGCAGCAAGGGCAGCGGCAAAGCTGGCAACAAGGGTGGACCCTACGCCCCTCGGTTCCAGCAGTTCCAGCAGCCCCAGTGGGGCAAGGGCAGCAACTACAACAAATACGGCGGTGGCGGTTCCTCTCAGGGAGGCTTCACGGGGATGCTCGGCCAGATGACCTCCGCGATGGATAACATCGCAGCCTTGGGCGAACTCACGCGGGTGGGCAACGCCCTGGCCCAGACGCAGCAGCAGCCTACCCAGCCTGTCCCAGCCGCCGTGGGGGCGACCCCGCCTGCCACGCCGCCTGGGGCGGCACCCGGCGCTGACACACCGGGGGTCCCGACCACCTCGGAGCCCGCGCGCGAGCTCGTCAGCGCCCTCACGGACGTGCTCCGCAACAGTGCGCCTGGCGACTCACGGCTGCAGCAGACTGTGGATCGCCTCCACAATCTTGTCGGCAACCCGTCCACGGCCAACGGGTCGGCCTCAGGCAACTCCCAGCTAGCTCAGCACCCCGTCATCCAGCAGCTGCAGTCCAACATGGCGACGCTCCAGTCCACTGTCGATGCCCACGGCCAGCAGATCGGGACGATCAACACCACGCTTGCCAGCGCGGCGCAGGACTCGAGGGCGACCAGGGAGATGATGGAGCGAATGATGGGCATGCCCCACCGTCCGCCTGCCACGCCCCAGAATGGCCTGCCGCGTCATCTCGGCCCTCCAAGCCCTGAGGCTGGTAGTGCCGCTCCTGGTGCAGGTGGTGGTACAGGCGGCGGCGCGGGCCCACTGGTCAAGCCTCAGATGACGGTAGCCGATCATGACCACGCCATCGCTATCTTGGGCATCGGCGCCCAGAGGCAGAATATGGTCCAGCTCAGCCAGGAGATTGCCTCGTCCGAGGGCGCCGTGATGCCCTACAGCGAGTGGTGGACGCAGATTGCTCGATGCAAAGGGATCGCCCAGTGGCAGACGAAGCTCCAGGCGATTGGTCTCCCTGAAGGCAACCCAACAGCCGCCTCGAGCTTCAACAAGATAGGCCAGATCATCTACTCCAAGATTCAGCACGACGGGACCTGGAGCGATACCGACCTTCAGACGATCACACTCTCATGATTGGCCACACCTGAAGTGAGCTATTCGGAGCTGGCTTTCAAAGGGGAAATGGTGTGGCCGATGCTCCGTGTGTTCTCGTTGCTGATTCCTTTAGTTATCTTTATCTGGACGGCGTACCAGACATGCATCTTCATCGGCTTTGCGAGACTTTCGGCCGAGAATTTGCTCACCTTTGCCATCCAGCGCGTGCTTTCAATTATTCCACTTCTTGCGCTTAGAGTTGTATCTGCCCTTGTATGGCCCAATGCGGCCCACTGGATCAATACACTCATGGCTATGCTTGGTGGTTTCTCTCAGGGAGAAGCTGACAACCCTCCCAAGCCGATTCTGGACGGCAAAGGAGGCGGCGAGTCATGGGCATGGTTCGCCGCGATTTCTCAGCCACTCCTTGTTGGCCTGTGCGCCTGGATGGGCCAGTGACGGCCGACACTCACACCGACGGCGAGCATGCTGCCGAGGTGACGGTCCTGCTGGTCCACAGCAGGCCTGATATGACAGCTTGTTTTCATTCCCTCCCCTGATCTAATTGGTCGGGATGTGTGTGTGCTTCTTTCAACATACGATTGGACTCGTTTTACAGTTCTCTTAGAGTTCCGACGTGTCTTTGCCCTGCACACACACACACACACACTTGTGAGCGTAGCGTTTCAGAATACGATTGCTCGTTTGTTTATTGTTTGTACTCGATAAGTGTAGGGAAATCCGCATGGCGGTCGAGCCCAGTAGACAGCAGCCCAACAGCCTGATAATATTGTTTTGGTTTTCCTCTCTCCTTCCTCCTTCCTCCTTCCTCTTCCTCCCCTGCCTCGTCTCGCTCCCGCTCCCAAGGTCCAAAAGCAACAGGCTAGTAGTATCCGTTCTTATCAGTGTCATTTGTTTGATTGCCGCTTCTCACACCACAGACATTTCAGGATCAGACCTCCGAGCGGGGGTTTAGGAGCTCGCTCAAGCCGACACGTCGGCGCATATACGTATAGGCTCCCGCTCGGTTGATCTCGCCCGCTTGTGCTGAGGAAAAGGATACACTGAAAACTCGCAGGGATCCTGACCTACGAAGGCCTCCGCGGGGACTCGAAGTGGGACTCAAAACAAGATTGGTTAACTTCTCATCACGTGTGTGTGTGTGTGTGTGTGTGTGTGCGTGCGTGCGTGCGTGCGTGCGTGCGTGCGTGCGTGCGTGCGTGCGTGCGTGCGTGCGTGGTGGTGGTGGTGGTGGTGGTTGTCGTGGTGGTGGTGGTGGTGGTGGTGGTGGGTGGGTGTGTGTGTGTGCGTGTGTGCGCGTGTGCGCGTGTGCTGTGGCATGGCACGGGAAATGGCGCCAGCGCTGCAGCGGGAGCACGAGTCGAAACGGGCGGAAGCGCGGAAATGAGGCCAGCGCTGCAGCGGGAGCACGATTCGGAACAAGCGGACGCACAAAAATGAGGCCAGCGCTGCAGCGGGAACACGATTCGGAACGAGCGGGGCCCGAAAATGAGGCCGGCGCCTCAGCGAGAGCAGCATTTTGAAAAAAACACCCGCGAAAACCCGTTTCCCGGGAATCTTGTGTGAAAAAACAATACGCGGGGGGGTGTCGGATATCTTCGGGACGCCATCAGGGGAAGTGGGAGAGTATTTTCATACTGTGTAATTGTGGAGGAGGAGGAGGAGGAGGAGGAGGAGGAGGAGGAGGAAGAGAGGAGGAGAAGGAGGAGGAAGAGGGGAGGAGGAGGAAGGGGAAGAGGAGGAGGAAGGGGAAGAGGAGAAGGAAGGGGAGGAGGAAGAGGAGGAGGAGGAGGAGGAGGAGGCGGAGGCGGAGGAGGAGGAGGAGGAGGGGGTGCGGCAGGTAGCCGCGGCCCTGGACTAGAGGGGGCGGTAGAGGGGCACTGGTGCCTGAGTTCGGCGGCTAGCGAGGGGGGGAAGGGAGAAGGAGAAGGCCTTCTCAGAAGGCGGCGCGGCCTCTCAGAAGCCCTCCGCCCTCCGGGGAAGGCTCAGGAATTTTTCAGAAGACCGGGGAGGACTCCCGAGCCTTCTGAGCAGGCCTGCCCCCCTCCCGGCTCGCCGCTGATGAGAGGGGGCGGGCCAGGGGCGGCAGGGGGGGGGGTAACGGGGACCACGAACGAACGATGGACTGGGGAGGGCAGGGGCCACGGCCTAGGCGGGGGCAGGCCAGAATGGCCAGGGGGGGGGAGGCGAACCACGAGCGAACGAACGAATTTGAGCGAGCGAACGCTAATAGATCTACCCGAGCTCAGAACACAGCTGTACAAGAGAAGAAAGGTGTCCGAGCTCTAGAGCACAGCTGTGCAAGATACGCGTGGCCCTTGCCTAGGAGGCTTGAGCGAATGCAGGCCATGTGGGGGGGGGACCGCGAACGAGTGAACGAACGAATGAACGAACGAACGAAAGTACAGGGTCTCGGGAGGGATAGAGGGTGGTCCAGGCCATGAGCAGGGGGGTCGCGTGGCCCTGGACCAGGAGGGAAAGGGCCACGGCCTGAGAGGGGGGGCAGAGGGCCACAGCCTGATGCTGTCAATTTGACGCATCACAAACTGATAATTGTCGACGCCGCCGCCCCCAAGTGCCCTGGATGCAAAATGCTGCAGTTGATGATCTTCGTTTTGGCGACGGCGCTTTTGGTGAACCACGGAGTGCCCCCGGTGCGCTGCCTGGATCTGGCAAGGGGCTGGCATAATAATCGCCCGGAGTAGCGAAACCTCTGTTTCGCATGGTTTACGTTTGCAGCTGCGGCGGGAAATACTTGCAACACGGAACAATAATTGAGCGGAATAGAGAGAAGCACGAGCAGACATAACATACATTGTCGGAGGTCCGTGCAGATTGCTTGGGTCGGCGCTGGATCCCGAAGGACGCTAGTCGTAGGATTTAACGGTCTCAAGATCGTCGTGCAGGGAAATCGACCCACCTTAGTTTATCCGCAAACTTCCAGGCGCGTCAGTCTGTGGAACCGTATGCTCGAAGAAATCCAGTGCAAGAGTCACGTTTGTTAAACGATCCGCCCTGCATTAATGCACTTTGTGCGGATGTGGGGTATTCTCTGGACAGGCATAGCAATGATATAGGTATCAAGCGACATTAAGATGTTGATGTTGGCCCTGTCGTACCTGCCGGGGCGCTCAAGTTTCGAAACACTTACATGCTTGTTAGTTTGGCGAAAGGATGCAATACGAGGTAGAGGTGGTGTGAGAGGAGCAGCAGAATAAACCGCAACATGAATGTTGTTCCCAGCTGATGACACTGTACTTCCCTTCCAGGTGTTGGGAGAGGGAGGGGGAGGAGGAGGGGGAATTGCCGTTTCAGGAGGTGGCTATGTGCAGAGCGCGGCCCCTCAGGTTGCATAAACAGTGCGACCGTTTCCTCATGGAGATGCAGGAGGAATTGCAGCGCGTGAGAGGCTTAGATTGCTAGATCACTGCGGGAACAAGCACAGCATCACATGGAGTCCGAACTGATTGACATGATGCACGTTCGCATTGTATCCCGATCGATGTTACCCATATATATATATATATGTACTTATATACGATACCAGAGCAGCACGAAATCATACTAGCTTCAGGGTTTTAGGGCTATGTGGCTATAGGGCTATGGGGCTATAGGGCTATAGGGCCATAGGCCTATAGGTCTATAGGGCTGTTGGGCTATATGGCCATATGGCTATAGGGCTGTGGGTCTATAGGGCTATGGGGCCCTGGGGCTATGGGGCTATAGGGCTGTAGGGCCATAGGGCTCTAGGTCTATGGGGCTATGGGGCTATAGGGCTGTAGGGCCATAGGGCTCTAGGTCTATGGGGCTATGGGGCTATAGGGCTACAGGACCATAGGGCTATATGGCTATAGAGTTATCGGGCTATAGGGCTATTGGGGCTGTAGGATTATAGGACTACAGGCCTATAGGGCTCTAGGGCTGTAGGGCTATAGGGCTGTAAGGCTATAAGGCTATGGGGCTATAGGGCCATATGGCTATTGGGCTATAGGCTATAGGGCTATTGGGCTACAGTGCTACAGGGCTATACGGCTATTGGGCTATCAGGCTATAAGGCTACAGGGCTGTAGGGCTGTAGGCAATAGGGTTTTAATAGGGCTATAGGGCTATAGGGCTGTAAGTCACCCGGGCACCCGGGCACACGGGCGGGCCGCGGAAGTCGGTGACAAACCTCACTTAACCAGATGAATCCGCTAGGACTCCTACAGAGGCAAACTCTGCCTGGGGAATATATATATATATATATATATATATATATATATAGGTATATGTATATATATATATATATATATATATCAGGTATCGGAAAAAAAGCCTAGGGCGAATCAACGGCGCCCTTTGCCTTTTAGACGCGCCTATGTGGCCGAACGTTGCCGCCAGAGCTCGGCCAAGCTTTATGGGAATATGTTTTCCCAGCCGTTGTGGAAACCCTCTGGGGAACACGTGGGGGAGAAAGACGAAGAGGAGGAGAGGGAGGAAAAAGAACAGGGTGGGGGAGGAGGAAAACGCTCTTGGGAGCCTCTTAGGGCACTCTTTGGCCTCCTGGAAGCTTTCTGGGGGCCTCTTCGAGGCATCTTGGGGCTTCCTCTTGGCCTCTTGGGGGCCTGTGGAGGCTCCTTGGGTGGCTCTTTGCCTGTCTGAGGGCGTTCCTGGCCCCATTGGCGATGTCGGAAGCCTCCTTGGGGCCTCTGGGGGCCGACTTGGGGAACTCTTGGGGCGCTTCACGGCTGTCATGTCTTGGAGGCCAGCTTGGGCGTTTTGGATATCTCTTGAGCCGTGCCTTTCTGGCGCTCTTGGGGCCATCTTGGTGGCCGCCGGGGCCGTCTTGGGCAGGCGGAGAACCGAGAATGAGCAAAGGCCGAAATCTTCCAACGGAGAATCAATGGATATGGCCTTTTCGGGCCGTCTTGGAGGTCCTCTCGGAGGCCTCTTGGGCAGTTTTCGAGGCCTCTTGGGCCGTCTTGCGGGTCTCTTGGGCCATCTAGGGGCCATGTTGGGTTTGGGCTCTCTTGGGGCCATCGTAGCCGTCTTGGAAACCATTTTGGCCGTCTTGCGGGCGATCTTGGTGCCATCTGGAGCGGGAAGAACGACGACTGGGGAATCTCACGGGTCCTTCAGGGGCGGGAAAAAGACTAATGGAGGCCAAAATTGCCCGGTGGCCAGCGCCATCGGGCGAAGGCCCATGGGGAACCTTTTTCAAAGGGACCAGCAGTTACAACCACCCCCCTAACGTAGACTACCCACCTAACGTAGCCCGGATCTCGGTGACACCGAGCCCGGCCCGCGCGGAACGGGTGTGACACCTGCATTCTGGCGACCCGATTGTCTCGGAATGAAGCTCCTGCTTGCGCGTGGGCCACATGTCTGATTGAAAGTGTTGCTCTCGCCTAGGCGCCGGCGACACTCTTCATTGAGCGTGTTGTTCTCGCTTGCTGTATTTACAGTGCAGCACGCCGTGCACATGGCAAGCCATAGGAGGCGGCGGATCGAAGACCCGTACGGCGAATCTCCACCGCCCCTTGGCCTTCTGGAAGTGCCTGTGTGGCCGAACGTTGCTGCCAGAGCTCAGCCAAGCTATCGTATCATGTTTTCCCCAGCCGTTGTGGACACTTTTCAGGGAACACGTGGGGGAGAAAGAAGAAGAGGAGAAGAGGGAGGACAAAGGAGTAGGAAGAGGTGTATAACCCTTCGCGGCGACGGTATGGATTTGCCGACGTGCGAGGTTGCCAGCGTTGCCAGGAGCAGCCGCTGGCAAGGTGCTGAAGCGATGTTTGGGGCTCGCACCCTGTCCACGACGATAGCCAGGATGTTCGCCTTGAAGATTGAATCAAATCATCTTCAGTGGAACGCGTGGACCGCTGTTGCGGTAGGAACGATTCCGCTTTCTCCTTGCGCAGATTGCATTCTGAAAGCGAGAGTATCGGGAGACCGTGCAGACCGACGTATTCGCCTCGCGAGACTCAGGTTGCAGTGACCGCGTTCTGGTGAATGATCGTGTTCCAATTGTAGGTGAAGATTTGGGGAAGCTGCGTTCGAACTTGCAAGACCGTCCTTGGGACACATATCTTCCGAAGCATAACAAGCAGTCCTGTCAGCCTAGCCCAGATCTTCCTGATGTGCGCACGTTTCTATCCCTTACGCCCTCATTCTGCAGTCCTGCGTCGGGAAGACGCCCACCGCCTTGTGACCAGGTAGTTGTCTAATCTAGATCCCCAATATCATCGCTTGCTCTCCCTCTCTCTCTCTCTGTCCCCCCTATCCTCGGTTCTCTCTTTCCCTCCTCGCGCCCGTGCCCCGACAGGGCGCGGCAGGGAGCGCAACCGGCATGAGGCATGGATCCTCTGCCGCGAGGGACTGATTGCTGAAACCTTCTCGCTGGGTCCCCCACATGGCTGAGCGCCCTTGCCCTGTCGACTAGACGTAAGAGTAACCTTTCGCCGGAGTGACCTTGTTTGCGGGCCTCTTGAGGCCCCCCCGATCGCGGAACTCGTTGGGAAAGCAGCGTCTTGCGCGCCTGTGCTTGGTCCCCTCGCGGCCCCCGAGAAGCCGCGCATCAAAGGTCAGTCTTGCCCAGGGTCACTCTTGCGTGTAGCTGACCCTACCCAAGATCACCACCGTCAACGACCAGCGCGTCCGGCTTGCTCACGATGCGCTGATGAACTACATGTCCGAGCAAGAGGAGGTTGGGATGGGAGCAAGGAGGGTGGAATTGACGTCGAAGCGTCGTGAAAGGTCGCGACGTGTGTTCCTGCCTCGGCTCGGGAAATCAGGCCCTCACGGATCAATCCGCCTCGAGATTTTTGAATATGATCCTAGGTCTCGACGTCGTGATTGTTGTCTGTATGTGCCCCCGTCAGTTTGGCGTTTCGTCCCGAGCTGTTTTTTTACTACAGTTAGGACGCTGAAGTCGCGGCCACTATGGATGCATCAGGGACTCTGGTTTTACGGCCGTCTCTCAGATCGACGTCAGGCGGCCTATGCCTGGCCGAGGTCCGTCGGTGCCAGAAGGGCTCGTTCGTTCCTTATTCCGCTTCCCTAGCTAGCGGTAGCACGACGATTGTACCCGGGGGGGGGCGGGAAAAGGACTTGGAGACAGACGACGCCGGAGGTCTCTGGGAGTCGGGCAGTGCCACGCACGGTGAGGGCATTTGTTTTAAACTCTTCGAGGTCGAACCCGTGCATGCACAAATTCAAGAGAAGCCGCGGCACGGATTACGCACAGCGAGTGCAACGCCACCGGCGGCTCACCGCACAGCATGCGCCACAGCCGCCCCCGAGAGGCCAAGGGAACGGGCGACGTTCAGCATCGTGGACGCTGGACAACACCAGCTGCTGCCCCGTCTCCATAAGCAACCTCCAACCATTTCCAGAAGCCCGAGGGAGGCAGCGCTGAGGCGCAGAGCCGCTGCGCCCTGCCCGTTGCCACGCACCGGGCCGAGAGCTGCCACCAGGCCGCGAAGGGCGAGCCGCACCTCTCGCACACACAACAAACAACAAACAACAAACAACAAACAACAAACAACAAACAGCAAACAGCAAACAGCAAACAACAAACAACAAACAACAAACAACAAACAACAAACAACAAACAACAAACAACAACAACAACAACAACAACAACAATTACTAGCACGTGGGGACACTCCGTTCTCACCAGTGCCAGGGTTTTCATACGACGCCCGCCAATACCCCCACTTTGTGGGGGGGCCGGTTCAAGCTCTACCACATTTCCAAACGACTCTTCGCCACCACCCACACCCAGCTTCCCGCCCTATGACGTTCGGACACTTCACTTCGTGGCCTGCGGACGACCGTGGCTACTACACTGGCGCATGGGTACAGTGACTTGTTGTGGTAACATTTTCTGGACGCTAGCTTAGTATACGACTTTTCCCCCTGTTCCAACACTGGACACCTGTACTGGTTTTTGGTGGTAACGTGTTCCTGACGGTTTGAAAGAGCTTGCGAAAGTAGCTCGCGCGAGCTCATGCAACATAAATGTTGAAAAACCATTGGTTTTTTAGGATTCGGACAGCGCGCGCGGGTAGAAATTTTGAAAAGTCGTACAGATGTTTTTCGAGGACCTACGGTGCGATTCGTATGATGTTATGTTGCGCGGTGCTAAAATTCCTAAGAAACCCAATGGTTTTTGAAGATTTCGGCGTGCGCGCGCGAAGAAAAAACGAATGTGCCCCGCATGGTATTATTTGACAGGGATGATGGCCCTGGCAGGTGCGCAACCGTTGTTGGAGAAGTTCGAAGCACGTGAAAAAGTTGCTCGCGAAAGCCCGTTTGACAGAAATGTTTAAAAAGTGTTGGGTTTCCTACAAATCCGCAAGAGCGCGCGGGATGAATTTTGACACTTTTTTTTGAAAAAAAAACATTGGTTTTTTTTGATGTTTTTATGTTAAAATCGCTACGAACACTAAGGTTTTGGAAGGATTTCGTCTTGCGCGCGCGAATGTCCACTTTACCTTATTTTTTGCAAGGGATTCTTGAAGTTTGGTTATGTTAGAACAAAAAATGTCCACTTTGCGTTGTTTTTTGCAAGGGAAAACCGCCCGTAACAAAACAACCGGATCCGGACCAACCCGTTTTGCCGGAGACTTCCTCGCGAAAATGATGAAAACATGGCTGCGGCTTAGGCGCGGCGAGGGGGCCGTGCACCAGGGGTCCCAACAATAATTATTCTTTAGAAGTAATAATGTTCATCAACAACAACAACAACAACACCAACAACAACAACAACAACAACAGCAACAGCAACAACAACAGCAACAGCAACAGCAACAAACAAACAACAAAAAAACAAACAAACAAACAAACAAACAAACAACAGCAACAACAGCAGCAGCAGCAGCAACAGCAACAACAACAACAACAACAACAAACACACACACACACAAAACACACAAAACACACAAAACACACACACACACACTGTGGGGAAACAGAAGCACACTGTGGGAAACACACACACACACTGTGTGTGTGTGTTTTGTGTGTTTGTTGTGAGTTTTTGTGTGTGTTTTTTTCTCGCCATCGGGCGAGGCCGTCGGGGGCCCAGCAGAAGCCCGCCCGACGACGCTGGCGAGGCCAGCGGCCGGCTCCCGGCTCGCACCGGGGGGGAGACGGGCACGCCTCCGCCGAAGGCCGCCGACGGCGGGGCTCCCGCCTGCTGCCCCTGGGGCGCGGGAGCCAGGGGCGCGCGCCAGGCCGCCTTCTCGGGATCTCGGCATAACCGCTGCCCCCGCCGCTGCCGAAGAGCCCGAGCCGCGCGGCCGAGCCGGTGAGGGAGAGACCCTCGGCCCCAAAACATGTTCCACAGTTGCCAAAATTGTAACCAAAAAAATGTCCCCATGCTTTTTGGGGGGACTATTTTTGAAGATTCCCCCTGGGAGCACCCCATGGCGCCGGAGGCGCCGCCGCCTGGCCGCCCGCCGCCGAGCCAGCAGCGCCGGCCGCCACGGCGCCTGGCAGCCCCGCCGCGTGCACCAGCTCCCGCGTGCCGAGCGTCGCCGAGTCCGGCCTCGGGAGGAGCAGCCACACCGGGCGGCGGGGCAGCGGAAGCGCGAGGGACCGCCGCGCCGAGCGCCTCAGCACGCGCGCCGCGCCCGCGCGCGTGGCGGGCGGCACCCCTGGTGCCGGAGGGCGCCGAAGGCGCGGAGGCTGCGCCCGGGCCGCTCGCGCTGCGCCGAGGCCGCGCAGGCGCCCCGGTGGTCAGCCAGGGCGGGGCCGACATGCCCGGCCGCGGAGGGGGGCGCCGCGGAGAAGAGGGGAGGCAGCGGCCACGGTGCCGCGGGCCGCACGCAGCGGTGGCGGCCAGAGCCGAGTGGGCGCCACGGTGAGGGCATTGGATAGGGAACCATTGGGTGAGGAGTCCAGGGTCGGGAAGCTGGTGGAACACCAATCGTGGAGTGGCCACTGCAGGTCCCATCAGATAAGGAATCCTCCAGGGTCTGGGTGGCCTCGGCACACACACACATATATATACATAGAGAGATGTATATTTACACATATGTATATATATATATACATATATACATATATACACATTTTTCTCTCTATCTCTCTCTCTCTTTCTCTCTCTCTCTCTCTCTCTTTGATTTCGGCGATGCTTTCCCGTCGCTCGTGGTGGAGTGGATGGCGGGCATGCTGGTCTTCTCGGGCTTCGAGGGCAGCCTGCTGCACACCTTGCTCTCCCTCCACTGGCTTCCCACCGCCTTCGTGCAGCTGGCTGTGGGGATGGTGCACTTTGCCTGCATCACCTGCGGGATCGCCTAACGCTGCCCGTCATCGTGCAACATGTGGGCCATCGCGATGAACCCCTTTCATCCACCACATGATGCGCTGCACGGACAGGAGCCCCTTCTCAGCTCTTGAGGTGTGCGCTGATGACGTGGGCTGTGCGCTCCAGTCCCGCAGGCTCCTCCTCGGCCTCTGGAGGGCGTTCGAGGCGGCGCGCACGCTGGCGGGACTGCAGCTAAACTTCAACAGTTGCATACTGATTCCGCTGGACGCCGAGTTCTCGGACGCCGCCATGTGCGAGCTGCGCGCCTGGCTCCTGGAGCACCTACCTGATTGGTCGGGCATGTCCATCCAGGACAAGGCCGAGTACCTCGGGTTCGTCGTTGTCCATGGCGCGCGGGAGGCGGATGTCTGGAGGAAGGCGGCGGCGAAGTGGTTCGCGCGGGCGATGGACTTCGCCTCCTGTGGGGCGCCCCCGTCCTTCGCCGCGCGCCTGTACAACCAGCGCGTCCTTCCCGTGCTTGGCTACCTGCAGCAGCTGGTGGCCACACCCGCGCCTCTGCGTGCCAAGGAGGCGTGGGCTTTCGCGAAGGTCTGGAGCTTGCCCCCTCAGGCGTTGGCCTGCCACGACGTCCTGTCGGTGGGCTCCTGGGCGCCTGGCCTGCGGTTTCGCTCCATGGTGGCGAGTGGTACGGCCTCGTTGATGCGAGCTGCTCACGGCGCCGTCACTAACTGGAAGCAGCTGCACGGATGGTTGGCGGAGCAGGCCTCGGAGGACGGCGCGCTCCAGGCCCTGGGCGAGCAGAACCTGTCGCCGGCGCTCTGGTGCTCCAAGCCGTTCGTGCGGGGCCTCGCCGAGGCCGAGGCGGGATTCGCGAATGAGGCTGCGCTCGCGCGCCCCGCGACCTCCGCGCGGGAGGCCCTTTGCTGTGCTGAGGCGGAGATCGGAGGCGCACGGGTGCGTGTGTAGAAAGTGTTGTACGCCTCCCTCCATGCCTCCTTCTTGCCTGATGTCCTCCACCTCCTCCTTGCGCGGCGTCAGAAATCATGGGGGCCCGAGGTCGTTCGCGACCCGTGGCCTCTGTTTCGAGCTGCCCTCTCGAAGCTCGCCCCGTCTTGGCAAAGTGTTGTTCTTAAGACGATCTCGGGAGCCTGGCATACCTCCGCCAGGCTCCACACCCAGGATGGGGTCAAGCCGTGTAGGTTCACATGTCGCGAGTGTCCTCTGTCCCACTACCTGCAATTCGAGGTCCTGTGGGATCTAGCCCACCCGCGAGGGGTCCAGGCGCCGTTTTGTCTGTCGTCGGGGATCGGTCTCAGTGGATCCCCCACTGCCGTTAAGATCGATGCGATTGTTCGGGCCTACCACTTGCACAACACCGCTCGTGTTCTCCCGCAGCCGCCCAATGTGGATGGGTGGGCCGATCAACTTACAGAAATTCGGAGGGCGGCGTGTCTCCTTGATGCTCACTCGGATGCCCGAGTCGGTTTCAGTGGACCCCCGTGTGAACCCTTCGGATTACGAGCGATATACACATACATATATATATATAGAGAGAGAGAACAGATGTGGTAGCGGAGAAAAACCATCATATTTTTTAGAGCTATTAGGCTATAGGGCTTATAGGGTTATTCGGCAGTTAGGGCTATACGGCTATTTGGCGATGGGGCTACAGTAGGGCTAAAGAACTAATAAATGGCTATAAGGCTATAGCGCTATAGGGCGACCAGGAACCCGGGCACTTGGGCACCCGCGGAAATCGGCGGCACACCTCACCCGTGCAATCGGGCACCCGGGCGTGCCGCCGAAATTGGCGCCGCACCTCACCTAACCATTTGAATCCACTAGGACCCGCTCATTGGCAAGCTCGAGTTCTGGAATCTATTCGGGGGGTTCTTGATGAGCGTGGGAGGGGTACCCCCCGCGACCCCAGGCCTCCGCTTGAAAAGCGGCCTGGTTTAGAGCTCCTTGGTCGCTCCGCGGCCGGATCCTTCTCAGCTGCGGACGCGGCCCGCTGTGGGCCCGACCGCTTGTTGGACCCAACTCGCCTCTGATCGAAATCACCGAGCGTGTTCCGCTACTCGCAGAGTACCGGCTCGCAAACGTCCGAAGAACACATGCCTGCTTTGATATGATTTATCGTAGACCCCCCGCGGGGGACCCTTGTCATTTGCGAGTAGTCACTTTTTGCGAGCAGTGGAGCGCGCTCGTCTACAAAACCAGTGTTTGGAACGCGCGTTGCAAGTCTGGAGTTTGGTTTGCGTTTTCGGCATCGCTCCGCCATTCCAGGTTATCCCTTTTCTGGTGGTGTGTGAGGAGGGGCGCGCAAATGCTGCCAGCGGTGGAGCTGCCCTGGCTGCCTCTGAGTGTGACGGGGGGCGACCTTGATCGGAGCATGGAGTGACCCTTCGTGCAATTGGGCGTTGCGTCTGCTCGGCGCGAGCTGGCGCCGGCGCAAAACGTCTCGCGTGCACTATAGACGCAGTTTGTGCCGAATGGTCTTACGGTGTAGTCCGATGGGCGGTGATATCTCGGATCAAGCGGCATGTTGGATTCCACGTGCTGCCCTCTACCCAGGGAAACGCTGAGGCACAATACGAATTAAGAAAAGCGGACTTCGAGAAGTGTCCCACCAAGAGTTGCGAAACGTGTCGACGTTGTGTTGGAACAGTTCATTGCACGTCAAGGCGCGGTGCCATATCCCGTGGGTCTTACAGTCGACCTCGCTCCCTGGACTACTGGGGACCCTGGAGTGGCCTCTCGGGGGCCTCCTGGCGGGCTTCGTTGGGGCCTTTCGGGGCGTCTTGGAGGCCTCATGGGCCCTCCCAGGGCTTTCGATCCTGGATCTCATCAGCATGTCTGATCAAAGTCTGCGAAAGCTTAGGTGCTCGATCATGGGCTCCTTTTTTAAACGCAAGCGTCCAGCCCGTCACGCCGAAGACCGCGGAAAACCGCCGAAGACCGCCAGAGTCCGCCGAAGGCTGTCGGAAGACCGTCAGAAGACCGCCGAAGGCCGCAAGAAGACCGCCGAAGACCGCCCAGGGCTAGTGGGCAACAAGAGGTCCATGGTCAAATACGTTGCACCAGGATGTTCGATCAAGGTCTGCGAAGCACCTCTCGGCTGCGAGCGAGGGGCGGAAGTGAGAAGGAGAAACCCTTCTCAGAAGGTGGCGGAATTTCTCACAAGCCCTCGAGCTGTCTGAGAAGCTTTTTGTGTCCTCGGGGAAGGCTTCGAACGCTTCTCAGAAGGCTGGTGGACCTCCAATCCTTCTGAGAAGGCCCGCCCCTTCTCACTTCCCTCCTTCGCTCGCCACCAAACCTCAGGACGCTGGTGGTGTGGACTCCCTCGCTCCACGCCGCGCCCCCTGCTCCGCCCCGCCGCAGGCCGCCCTCCGCGTCCTCGCGACGCTCCGCCAGGAGCAGGAGGCCCCCACCGCGGTCGCCCGTCGACGTCGCAGGTTGTCGTCGCGACGCGCTGGCCATCGTCGCAGGTCGGCGCAGCCGTCGTCGCAGGTCGGCGCCGCTGTCGGTCGTCGTCGTCGTCGGAGTCGGAGTCGGAGTCGTCGTCGGAGTCGTCGTCGTCGTTGGTTGCCGTCGTAGGCCATGGCGGTCGTCTCGTCGTCATCCGTCGTCGCCGCGGCAGCAGTCGCCGGCGAGGAGGAGAGAGAGGAGGAAGGAGGAGGAAAAGGAGGAGGAGGACGGAAGAGGAGGAGGAGGAGGGAGGAGGAGGAGGCCGCAACACGAGGGAGGGAGGGGGGATGTGGCAGGGCGGGGGGGGGGGAGAGGCAGGAGGAGAGCGAGGGGAGTGCTGGGCCAGGGGGAAGGGGGGAGGAGGAGGAGGAGGAGGGAGGAGGAGGAGGAGGAGGAGTAGGAGGAGGAGGAGGAGGAGGAGGAGGAGGAGGAGGAGGAGGAGGACAAGGAGCAGCAGCAGGACGGACTTCCGCGCGTCGTGGGCGGGGCGGCTCCTCCCCTGCCGCCGCTGCCGGTCCGCCTCCCTCCCCTCTCTTTCCTTCGGCAGCAGGAGAAGGGCTGGGCGGGGGTGAGGACGGGGGCGGCAGGAGGAGGGGGGAGGAGGAGCGGGAAAGGGAGGGTAAGGAGGAGGAGGAGGAGGAGGAGGAGGAGGAGGAGGAACAGGATGAGGAGGGGGAGGCGAGGGGGAAAGGGAGTAGAGAGAGAGAGAGGGTACGAGGGGAGCGGGTGGAGAGGAGAGGGTCCCCGAGGTGAAAGCCATCGCCTACGACTACGAGGAGAGGTGGGGCCCCAAGGCGCTTGCGGACGCCGCCGCTTGGCCGTGAGGGCGCCTCCGCGCTCGTCGCCCCCGTCTCTTCGTCTCCTCGTCTCTTGATGGGGAGGTGCTAGTACGGAGGGGCGGGGGGAGGAGGATGAGAGGGAAGGAAGAAGGCCGAGGAGGAGGAGGAGGACGAGGGCAAGGATGAGAACGAGGACGAGGGCGAGGACTAGGGCGAGGACGGGTACGAGAAAGAGAGAGAGAGAGAGACAGAGAAATAATTCAAGAGAGAGAGAGAGACAACGAATACACACACATATATATATATTGAGGGGAAGCCAGGAAAGGGATGGAGGAGAGGTATCTATAGGGAGGAGGACGAGGAGGAGCGAAGAAGCACGAGGAAAGAGGAGGAAGGTGGAGGGAGAGGAGAGGGGTGCGTTTCAAGACCGTAGTCCCAGGGCAGAGGGTAAAAAGGGGGGAGCGGAGAGGGAACGAGGAGGCGGGATAACGGAGGAGGTATCATAAGGAGGGAGGCGGATGATAGAGGATGCAGAGGGATCAGGAACAAGGGTAGTGACAACTAAGAAGGAGGAGGGAAATTCCGGGATGCATCAGCGATGTTGCAGTGCACGTTCCCGTCTGAGCCCCCCTCCTCCTTCTTACGTCCCTGCAGCGCTTCCCTTTTTTCACTGCGAGAAGCAGCCCTGTGTAAGACCAGCACACAATGGGTCAGGTGTTCAGGGGAGAGCCCCGTTCTGAAAAACAATGCCTTGCATTTTTCTCGCGCGCAGTCAGGCATGAGAAACGACATGATAAGAACGCTACATACAAGTCGACTGGGTGTCCAGCGACATCCGCGTTTTGAAGAGGACCGTCGCTAATCCGTGTAACTGCTGCACGAGCTTAGATTGAATCGCTTCGCTCATTCCGCCGGCCCATAGTTTAGCGTCGCTGGCACTTGCTTGCGTGCTCGGGGGGGCATTTGGGTGGCCTCCTGGGGCCGCTTGGGGGCCTCTTGGGGGCCTCCTGAGGGCCTGTTGGGGGCCTCTTGGGGCCTCTTAGGGGCCTCTTGGGGCCTCCTGGGGACTTCTGAGGGCCGAGGGCTCGAAATATTGTTTCGTGTTCCCCCCCTGGGGTCCCTCTTGGGGCGTTCTTGGGGCCCTCTTGGGCCGTCTTGGAGGCCTCTTGGGCCGTCTTGGAGCCCTCTTGGGCCGTCTTGGGGCCCTCTTGGGGGCCTCTTGGGCCCTCTTGGGGCGGTCTTGGGGGCCTCTTGGGCCGTCTTGGGGTGTCGTGAAGCCGAAAAGGTGGAAACGCCAAAATCTCTCCAAAACCTAAGGAAAAGCAGTGAATTTTGCCTCTTGGGGCCCTCTCGGGAGTGCTCTTGGAGGCCTCTTGGGGCGTCTGGGGGCCATCGTGGGCGTCTTGGAGCGATCTTGTGGCATCTCGGACCCCTCATGTAGCATCTTGGGGGCCTTTTGGAAGCCTCTTGGCCCTTCTTGGGGCTCTCGGGGACGTCTCGGAGCCGCGTTGGTGCGCTGGTGGAGCGCCCTGGTGACTCCTCCCGGGACTCTCTCGGGACCTTGCCGGGGTACTTTCCGCCCGGGGGCCCCCAGGGGCCGCCCCGCGCGCGCGAAGTAGAAAGATTGTAAAGCAGTCACCGGAGATCTTAGCACGCCTCTGGCCCGTTGGGCCGGCGAATTTTCGACCATGAACTTCGAGGACCTTTCCAGCGAGAGCCCTACTTCGAAAAATGTACCACCCTCAATCTGAGCAGCTGCTACACATGGGTACTGGCAACTTTTTCCGCCGATCGAACTCAAGGAGATGCTGCGGTGTGCGTTTCGGGGGAACGCGAAAAGCTCGGCCAGATATGGGGGCTCCGGAGGCCACCCACCCCCTCGTGTGCCCCGCTCCTGCCCCAGCGAACAGCTCCGACGTCGAGAATGCACTCCCATGCGCATGTGTTGAAGCCTCTGGATTCTGAATATCCGGGCACAAGCGAGAGCCTCGCTTGGAAAAGGAACCGTCCCCGATCCTTGCGACTGCTGCAAGCTGTTGAGGCGAGTGCGCAGGGCTCTTAGGCGAGCGCACCATGTTGGACATGAGCTACCATCCGCCCATGTAGCTGATGCGATGTTTGGAACGAGTCCGCGCGGCGCTGCGGCAAGAGTCCCATTTTGAAAACGAATGGTGTGTAATCGTTGTAGTTGCTGCAGACAGTGAAGGCGAACCCGCACGGCGCCGACGCGGGAACCACAGTTTGCAAATGAACCGCCATCCATCGATTTAGCGGCTGCCATCTCTTAAAAGACGGACGTGCGCGGCGCCAAAGCGAGACCCCTATTTTGAAGGACACTTGTGTTCCATCGTTGCATCGCGTTTGAATGTCAACCTTCGGGGTTAGAAGCGGTGGGCAAGTCCAAAGCGACACGTTCGGGTGTGGGACCTGGAATGCCAATGGATCAGTGCTGCAAAGATGGGAACCTTCTGTTTGCCGTTTTGTTCGCGCTTTCGGCAATGATGGTCGCACGCATTGTTTCCGCAATTGGCCACGGTTGCGCAGATGAGAGCCTTCTACTTTTTACAATGGATAATTTCCGCGAAAGGCGGGGACCGCTTGGTTTTCGAAATCGGTCGCCATCGGCTGCGATTTGAGAACCCGATGGCCTCTGCATTGAGTCACGGCAGCAAAGATGATAACCGCGTGGTTCTCACACCACGGTTTCGTGTGTGGGAACCCCACATGTTTCGTAATTGATCGTTGCTGCGAAGATGGGAACACAATGTGTTCGAAATGCATACATATGTGTATGTACACATACACGTATATACATATATACATGTGTATCGGAGGTGAGGGGGTGAGATCGAAGTGGAACGGAGAGCCCCCCTACCGGGAAATCGGTTTCGGTTTCGTGTTCATGCGTGCCGTGCGGGCGAGGCGAAGCTGCGTGGGCGGGCGAGAAAAAGTCTCCTGTGGCTGAGGCGCGGCCGGACCAAATGACTCCCTTCCGGGCGGCCGGGGGCCCGCGGTGTCCCGCCGGTGTCCTGCTGGTGTCCCGTGTGGCTGAGGCGCGGCCAGACCAAATGACTCCCTTCCGGGCGGCCGGTGGCCCGCGGTGTCCCGCGATGTCCCGCGGTGTCCCGCGGTGTCCCGCCGGTGTCCCGCGGTGTCCCGCGAGGATGATGATGATGATGAGATGATGATGATGATGATGATGATGATGATGATGCTGATGCTGAAGATGATGATGATGATAATGATGATGATGATGATGATGATGATGATGATGAGATGATGATGATGATGATGATGGTGTCCCGATGAAGATGATGCTGATGATGATGTTGATGATGGTGTCGATGATGATGATAGTGTCCCGATGATGAGGATGATGATGCTCATGATGATGATGTTGATGATGATGACGATGATGGTGTCCCAATGATGATGATGATGACGATGATGGTGATGATGATGATTCCGATGATGTTGGTGATGATGATGTTGATGGAAATGGTGTCCCGGCGATAATGATGTTTATGATGATGATGTTGATGATGATTATGGTGTCCCGACGATGATGCTGATGATGATGATGATGGTGGTGATGATGATGATGGTGCTGTTGATGGTGTCCCGATGGTAATAATAATGATAATGACGATGTTGATGATGATGTTGCTCATGATGTTGATGGTGCCCCAATGATGATGGTGATGTTGTTGATGATGGTGATGATGTTGGTGATGATGGTGCGATGATCATGATGATGGTGTCCCGAGGATGATGACGATGTTGATGATAATGTTGATGATGAAAACGATGGTGATCATGATGGTGTCCCGATTATGATGATGATTATGATGATGCTGCTGATGATGATGACGATGACTGTGTCCCGATGATAATGATGATGATGTTGATGATGAGATGATGATGGTGATGGTGATGATGATGTTGTCCCGATGATGATGCTGACGTTGATGATGATGTTTATGATGATGATGATGACGGTGCCCTCATGATGATGACGATGTTGGTGATGATGTTGATGTTGATGATGATGATGATGATGATGTTGATGATGATGACGTTGATTGTGAGAGCGATAGTGGTATCGATAGTGCGATCGATATTGAGACCGAATGTGAGATCGATTGTGTGATCGATTGTGAGATCGATTGTGAGATCAATTGTGAGATCGATCGAATGAGATAGATCGAGTGATATCGATTGTGAGATCGATCGAGTGAGATCGATCGAGCGAGACCGATAGTGAGATCGATACTGAGATCGATAGTGAGACCGATCGAGTGAGACGTTGGTTCCCCCCCGAACCTCCTTATCACCCGAAGGGTGGTCGTGTAGGTATTTATATATATATATATATGTATAGCCATCTTACAGAAAGACTGTAAACAAAAAGAGAAGGAGGGAATACACTACTGCCGCAGATGCAAGGGAGGAAGCGTCAACTATTCAATGAAAGCGTAGGGATTGCTGTTCTCTCTGAGGAGAAGGGGCTCATGAGGAAAAGGAGGAGGAGGAGGAGGAGGAGGAGGAGGAGTGGGAGGGCCAGCCGGCCGGCCGCCACTTGCGCCGCCTGCGGCCAGGGCCTGGCCGCCGAGCTCGAGTTGGCCCTCGCCGATTTTTGGAGGCCCAGCGGCCTCGCCAGCCGAGGGCCCTCTTCAGCGCCGCCGTTCGGCAGAGGGTACCCGGCGACGTCGACGCGCTGCGCCCCCCCGCCGGCCGCGACGGGGCCGCGAACGCAACCACGGATCAGGAGGGGAAAAAACACACAGACACAAATAATCGTCGATTCCCAGGAAGGTATTGGAAAATATGGGAAGTGGAGGGGAAGACAAAACCCTAGAAAATATAGGAAAATATGGGGAATCCTCTTATTTGTGTGTATTTATTTGTGTGTCCTTGGGCCCCTTGAACAGATGCGGACAAGCATCGGCGCAAACCGGTGGGTGGCCGCCCTGGCGCATGGTGCCGCCCGCGGCGGAGACCGCCCGTCAACACCG